TTAGATGAAAGAAAAGGGTTGCTGCAGCTTAATAGCAAATATATCCTGGTCTAGGAGAATCAGCTGATTGAAGAACAAGGGTACTAGAGCTCATTATCCACGGAGAATGCTAGACTGGTTTTGAGAGCTTAAAATTTCAGGCACCAACTCTAGGTGATTTAAATATATGTGTCGATATCAAGCCATCACGTTGAAGGCACTGATGATTTTTACGAAAAAATAGGAGAGTGGCATCAACATGGAAAGAGCCATTGCAACTTCACCAATGATTGTCACAACGGCAAAGTCGGACCACGGCAAGGAAGCAAATGCCCTATAGGCTGATCTGGACATAGGAAAAACCACATGAGTGATCGACTACTGAAATTTGCTGCAGTGAACAAATTATCTGCCATGAAGATATTTTTTTCAAACAAACCCAATCCAAAAATAGACATGGAAAGTTCAAAATGGCGCAACGAATGAAATCGATTTCAGCCTCAATAAAATGAAAATTACAATGCATGATATTGCGGCACTGAACTGGTTTAATGCAGGAAGTGATCACAGACTCGTCAAATGAAAAGTGGCCTGGACTCAGCTTTAAAAGAAGGACATTTTTGAGGGCGAGACGCAAGATATTTGCTATGGCGACACCAAAGAACCTCCTGTTCTTTAAACTCAAATGAAACCAACGATTCGACGTTACTCTCGATAAACAAGAAAAAATAACAATTGGCATGAAGATAATTTATCAGAATGTAACGAAAACAGTCGAAGAAAATGGAAATATCTCCAGAATGTGTACTCCAAAGCTTGACCCAAAAATTACGAAGTAGACGAAAGAACTCATAAGAAATGAAGCCAATGGCAGATATGAGAACGAAAACGAAATAACGGAAGCTAGAAAACTTTAAGGAAACGGACAAAAGACGTTCGAGCATTCGATTGCAAATTGATAACGTTAACAACTGAATATTACCGAAGCATGAGAAAATTAAATCAAAGACTGACGACGGGAAAAGGACTAATGTTTTGATATTAAAACAGAGGACGACAGTGAAAATTGTACACAGATGAAAACAGCAACACTCTAGCTGGAAAAAAACCTGAAGAAACACGGTGGGTTCATAAAATTCCAGGCGTCTTTCCGGAAGAAGTGCGACATGCAAAACGCGGCAGATACGGATGTGACATGTACAGATGGAAACTCTGAGACTCATCGAAATGCGAGTGTAGAGCAAATAGTCAGACCGTGGGTCACCTCACTACTGAATTTTCGCTTTAGAAACTACAGGAGAAATGCAAAAAGCCCTGCAAGCTGCCCTCAAGTGGCTTTACAATTAAGCCTAGAGCCGTTATAGGCAAACGGGAATGCATAGAACAGAATATAGGCTGACACTGCCGGTCAGGGTAATACGATATCCGTTCATCGGATTTACACGGCATAATCGCAGCGTCTTATTGCTTTTAGATGGATATAGGGGCTCTTTCAACAAACCGCAGTATCATGACATTGGAGCACCGATAGGGCAGGTAAGGAACAGTATGGGGTTGGGGCCAAACAGGCCTTCGAACACAAACTGAATAGTGCCGAGCAATTCCGTCGAATCAACTCCAAAATGCCACAATCCGCTGGCATTTATATGCACCATGACAGAACGCATGCGTTCAGGAGCTGAAAAGGCTCTAGAAGTAAGAGAACGGCATGACTATGCCGTCATAATTGGATGAAGGAACAGAGCAGCACCATTATTATTAAGCAATACTCGCATGCTTAATTTAGTTTAAGATAAGCAAACAAAGTAAACTTCACAATACATGAACTCACAGTTGCCAAAGAGAACCAGGATAATGAAGTACACAGAGTAAACCATTCCACCTCCGTATATTCCCCCCTGAGATTCAATAGCCAAATACATGACTTCGTTCCAGTCTTCTCCAGTCAAGATCTAAATTCGAACATTGGCTATGTTACTTAGTTGTTTACAGTTTGGTTCGCATTAAACCATACTTGAAACACGGTGATAAGAGCGATGGAGAACGTGTCAAAATGCGTGTAGGGCCTTCCATCGGTAAAATTGAATCTAAACAATTGGCCGAATATTGCAGCATGCCTTCCACAGTAAACCTACTCTCCGCCAAAGAGCTGCATGCCAAGAAGCGCAAAGATGACGATGAAAAGAAATAGAAGAAACAGTAGCGAGATGATGCTGCGCATAGAATTCATCAGCGAGACGACCAGGTTCCTGAGACTTGTCCAGTATCTGAACAACAAGCAGTTAGTAACGAGTTTGTGGTAGCCGACAATGCGGTGTTCGTACTTAGTCACTTTGAAGATGCGCAACAGCCGCAGTGCGCGCAGAACCGATATGCCAAATGATCCGCCTTTCAGCTCGCCCCATATAACTTCGATCAGGCTTCCGGTAATTACCTATGTAAATATTATGTGAATAAATCAACGATTTTGAGTCTCTACCTAATATGAAAAATCATTTACAACGAAATCAAATATGTTAAACGACGACTGGAAGTAGACATCGACGCCAAGGCCAAACATCTTGAATAGCATCTCGAACATGAATATTCCCAAAAACGCCCACTCAGCTTTGTCTGAAAATAATTTCGTCACGGGAGAACTGCAAATCTCGATAAGAATTTCCTTACAAAGAAAGTCGTCCATCCATTTCGGCTGTCCGTAGTGTTCAATGGACACGCAGACAGTATTAAGAAACACGAGAGTGATTACTAGCCAGTACATGAACTGTGTTTTCACCATACGTCGCACAGTAAATCTAAAGTGAGTATTATAACAGAAATTTTGGGTCTTCGACATGAATTTCCTAACAGCTGCTATACCTCAGCTGTTTCATAGATTTCCTCAGCTTGCTCGTGCAATCATTTCTTCTGTTCTGCCCT